AATTTCTGAAGTTGCAATAAAAATACAAATGTTATACAAAGCAGCTGCTAAACATGATGTGGAGATTAATTAAAACAAATCTTGATGGTATCAACATGACAAAGGAAGCTAAGTCCGGGGATTTGGGATGTCATGCATTTTATTAATGTGATAATTACTGCTTTAACCTTTTTTACCTGCACACTGATCGGTGCTTCAAACATCCAGGTAGAATGTCAGCGATGAAGCGTATTTGAAGATCACTTTCACAATGAAAATGACAAATATATAACAAAAGCAGATGGCTTGGCAACATATCACTGATAACTTGTTTAAGTCTCTCTATTTACTGATGCAATTTTGAGAGCTGAATATTGCTTAGCACTTCATTATGTAGTTCCTGGGAAAGTTGTCTAAATTCCTAGGTGCCATTCAGAGCCCTGATTTATTATCATATTTATAATCTGATATAACCAAATCAGATGGCTGAACTTATTTTGTTTTAAAATAAATTCTTTATTTAGATATTTTCAAAGATTCCAGACACAGAAAGAACAGATCATAAGTGACAAATGTTACAAATAGTAGTGCAACAATAGGTCAACAAGAATACAACATCTTGATGGGTGAATACAGTTGTTTTGTAAGGCACAGAATTGTGTGTGTCGTAACCGTCTTTAGTAGCAAAGACCTCGTGTGAAGCGTGAATGGCAATCTGATCCGGGCCTTTCAATGATATGTCCAGCAAACATGCCTGGAGCATACCCATCACTTCAGAAACTAATCACAGAGTCATCAAAATAGAAGAAAAGGAAAACAAAAAGAAGAGAAAAGGCATACAGCAGGTGCCAGACAATATGACTAAGAACAGTACAATAGGATGGGAGCAGGGTACAGGGAATCAAGGTCAGCAGAGGGTGGGCTAGAGGGAACTGTCTCGGCAGGTGTAGCATTGAACAGAGAGAGAAAATCCTCAGACTGTAAGAATTCCACCCAGTAATGCCATGTTTTGTGGAATTTCTCCAGTCTGTGGTGTAGAGCAGCAGTCAACTCTTCGAGGACATGCATCTCCTCCACTTTCTGCAACCATAGTTGGAAGGGCGGTGGGTCTGAACGCTTCTTGGCCGCATCTCCAGCACAGTGGCGATGTCTGAGGGAACATCCTGTGTAGGATGGTCGGCACATAGTACCATCTAGTGATGATTTTGTAGCCCGATTCTTGTATGACGCTACTAATAGAGGCCTTGTGTGCAAAGTATAAGATGTACTCCGCCTGTGTTTGAGAAAATGTGTGGTCCAGATCTTTCTTCCAGGTCCTTAAGAACTTAGGAGAGCGTGGGCCTGCGATAAGCCACGTTCCCCATGTTCGCTCTTCCCACATAGTTCTGCAGTCGGAGCTCCCATTCTAAGCAGGGTGGTAAGGAAGGAACGCAGTTGCATCGCATGCCAACGAAGTAGAGGTGGTGATGTCATGGTGGAAAGGGATTGGAGGCTGGGAATACACTCTGTAGACCAGAAATGGGAAATTCTGAATTGGTTGGCACGGGAGAGTCATGCGAAAGGGCCACCCTCCATGCCAGGAGGGAAAGCAGGGTTGCCCACTAACGGTGTCATCAGGGATGGGGATGTCCCTGAGGAGACTAGGCCTGTAGCTGTACATATCGTGTAGCCAGCGAGCGGATGGGATTGTACCTCAAACGTGCGATCCCTGTCCAGCCAAAGTAAGCATGGCAGCGGTATTGCAGAAGAGTCCTGCTCCAGGTGCACCCAGCACCTGGTCGAGGCCAGATTACACCATTTGAACGCACGTGCCATATGAGTCGCCAAGTGGTAGCGTTGGAGGTCTGGAAACCCAATCCCTCCCCTCGATTTCGGTAAAGCCAGGAGTGTCTTATTCAAGTGGTGAGCGCTACTGGACCACAAGAAGGAGGTGAATTATCTCCCTTTTTAAGGAAGCTTAGTGGAATATAAATCGGGGGTATATTCATTTTGAGCAGGCTGAAGCTTGTCATGTCTCTGCTCCAGCTGGATTTTGAATTTCCAGCACCAGGGCCCATACAGGTATGTGATTACATGTGACCACCACGTGTCACATTCACTCATGTTACATGTGGTTAAATCTTTGCTGGATAGGCTGTTTTGGGGTGCACTGCAGTCTATTAGCATGGGTCCTGTGCCTCATGGGGTGGAATATCAAGACATCATATTCCTTGGGACACCCCAGCCTGGCCTAACCATGACCCAGGCCCTCTAAAAAGCCTAATCATCCTGCTCCTCTTCCCTGAGACATGCCCAAAGGTCTACTGCTCTACTGGTACAGAACAAGAGTCCACACCAGGCTCCTTAAAAAGGCATGCAACTTTACTGAAGAATGATTTACTGTACGGACAGCCATACAGACTAACGGGCACAATGATGCAACAGTTCTTGGTATCAAGAGAGCAACTCAGAGCGAGATCTACACTCTGTAGTGGGTATAGCAATGTCCTGGCTTACCTCAGCATAGGTAGGAGAATGTCCTTACACTCCCCCGCAAGGGGAAGCCCACAAAGTAATGGCTCTTGCTACATGGTCCCTCCTGGACAGGCCCCAAATTAAAAATCAAGAATAGTGTCCTACACATTGGCAAATTAAACCCCCTACCAACTCCCTGCCTACCTACTTATACCCTTCCCAAGGGCATTTCTGACAGACAGGTACAGGGTTGCCCAGCAATTCCAGTGAGCTCCTCATGCAAGGGCCATACTAAGAGCAATAGGGACATCTAGCAGTGGCATGGGGAGAAGCACCTCCACAAGAACACTTGATCACCATCAGCAGATCCAGAAATGCAGTGTTGCAGCATACTGTAGCAGTAATAGCAGTAATAACTGTGGTTTAGTAATTGCCTTCTCAGCTGCTTAGAAACAGTTACAAATGTACAAATTCTCAGCTATAATATTACTACTAATATAATATTATCATTAACAATAACTCAATGGCCTGCAGTGAAGCTGAATGTGTAGACAGATCGTGAAAATGTATATCTCTGCAAAAACCCTTTCTTTACCATTATTCTGCAATTACTGTAACTGTATTGAACTGCAATAATTATTGTTTACAATAATATTAAGAAAAAAATCCAGGCTAAAGAGGCCCTGTCACCAGACTATTCATTACAACTAAAAGCTTCCCATATGATCATATATGCATTTAACATATTCTTTGCATGTTATTTACCTATAAAATTGTGTACAAATCCAAAAGCCCTGAGACTGCTGCAGCCATGTTGTTGTGCTAAGAAACTGATTCTTCCTAGAGAATTTTGTACCAAGTTGAAAGGCACATTGCAAAAAAATAAAAAGTAATTTATGGAAAGGGAAAAACAGTCCAAGTAAGCATTTAAAATATTTGATTTTTTTTAGTGCTTTTATCTGCAATTTGGTGACAGGGTCTCCTTAACAGAAAACCTATCATGAGATGAACATGGAAGCTGCCATTGCTAATCCCCTTCTAAAAAATCCTAGCTACCAGTATGTCATTGTGATCTGGAGGAAGGAGGAAGTATTTAGATGGGATGCTCTGACTTTCTTACCCTGTTTAATGTGTCATACTTTTTCTGGGTCAGTAACAGAAAGTAATGCAAGCAGAAAAAAAACAGGCAAATAGCATTTTCAGAAGCATGTTAGTGATAGCACCCTATCTATTTCTCTCATGACAGGTTTGCTTTAAGCAGTGTTTGTTACTGATATACAATGTATCCATTCTGCCTGTTTTACAATATTTTCTTTTAAAGATTATTTATATAGCACTGACAATTTACGCAGTGCTTTACAGTGCACATTCGCATCAGTCCCTGTCCTCAAGGAGCTTACAATCTAAGGTTCCTATCTCACATGCATACATAAGAGGGTCAATTTAGACAAGAGCCAATTAACCTTCCAGCATGTCTTTGGAATGTGGGAGGAAACTGGATTTGAATTTGTGGAACCCCAGTGGTGCAAGGCAGAAGTGCTAACCACTAAGATTAACAGCATCTACAGCAGACAATAAGGCCCAAAAGATAAGGCCAAATGCATATTTGTGATTTGGGCCGATTGGGTGAGTCTCATTAATTGTTCTGTGAGATTCATATGAGCGGATGGCCATTCTATAATATATTGGTACCAATACACAGTATAAGAGAATCCCTGACGAAGGCACTCTTTGTGGTGGACAACGTAGGAGTAGGTTTTAATACACTTTTTTTATCACTTTATAAGGGAAGATAATTAGATAAATGTTGAAAGGAATCAGGCTTAAAACATGAAGGAAAGAAACTAGGATAGAGGACATAATAGCAGGATAGAGATACCTGAAAAAGGAAAGAGAAGACATTGAGGAATAGAAATCAATTATAAAGCAAATAAAAGTTAGTTCAGAAATGTATCCCCCCCACTCCATTTTGTTAGATGAAACTGTATTGACTCCCATTATTGGTTTAACGAATGTGGTGAAGGATGCAGATAATTAATTACGTATGCAAAAACAAAAATGAGCCAATAATGGAAAATGTTTTAGTAAAGATGTCATTAAGATTTTGAACTTTCGCTTTAATAAAAAAAATATGAATGGCTTAGCAGCCAGTTGGTACCAGTCGTAAGTTTATATGATATCTAAATCCCATAGGAATCTGTTTATATAGTGAGGATCATTTAAGTATAAAATTATACAAAGCAATAAAATCTTACGGCACCCACATCCATTTTCATGTAATCCGACATGCTGTTATTACCTGCGGATGATTGCCCCTGGGCCAAACCACTTCCATCTTGGAGCAATCGTCCACAGGTTATCGCACCATGTCTGAAAGGCAGCTTTGTATAGTGCTCCACACAGCTGTTGGCATTGAGTCTAACTGAGCAATTCCTGAGACTTACCCAATTGGTCCCAATTGCAAGTGTGAATGGGGCCTAAAAAAACACAAGGAATATCGACAACCACTCAAACCTCAATACAAAAGCCACATAAATCAATACATAGCAATTGTTTCAAATACTCACTTGTTTCATAATGATCCCACTGATATCCAGAACTGACATGTCAGCTTTCTTACACTCATTCTTCTCCCATATCATTGCACTGACTCTCTCAGAAGTGGGGTGTGTACCTTGTAGCCAAAACAAATGGTTCTAAAGATAAAAAAAAAGAGCAACTACCTGAAATGAAAACGGCATCATTCGTGTTTTCTAAGCACTTCAAGATTGGCCGTTGGTCCCGTATGGACCAGACCAATTTGGTAGTACTTTCTTAGAAGAATGACTTTTTTCTATTTTAAAGAATAGAAGAAGAGGCAAACTCTAGAAGGTTTGCCCGTCATATTGTGCCTGATGACGATACTCTAAGGCTTCGTTCACACCATCCTCAGTGCGTTCCGGCCCAAATGTGGCCGGAACGCACTGGATCGCATTGACCTTTTCAGTTTGTTGTGGGGCCGGAGGGGGTGTGGCAGTGCATTGAAGTGAATGGCACCGCAATGTTATCAGACGCATGGGAACGCAAGGCACATCATTGCCTGCAGGCATGAACAATGCGATCCAGTGCGTTCCGGCCACAATAAAGCACGAACAATGCTGTGTATATGGTAGCCACATACTCACCTATGAGGATGGTGTGAACGAGGCCTTCATGGCCCGAAACGTTGCCTTTCCCCTGTCAAGATGTACATGCGTCAATAAAGACGAGTTTGGACACTTGATTCTGGTGTGCTGGTAACATACTATATTCTTTTGGAAAGTATGTAAACCTCCATAAACACACACACATATATATTTTAATTAAAGCGATGCGCAAACTGTTGGCGCTATAGAAATCCTGTATTATAATAATATTATTAATTAACAGCAAGGTACTTCATTGAGCATAAAATTTGAGGGATCATTTAAGAAGAACCCAGGGTAATTTTTTTTATTAACCCTTGCCGTGGGGCCCCTGCACTGCAAGTGCTTGTTTTGGTCAAGTGCTGAAAATAACAAAATTATACAAACCTGATACTCTGAGCCGGCTGGCTTTGACAGCAGCTCCTGCAGCATGTCTCCTCTGTTGCAGCGATGTTATGTCCCTCGGGATCCTCACATCCTATACACTGTACACTGAGTGGCCAGTTTATTATGACCACCTGACGTTTGTAGGCAAATTAGCTATAATTAGCTATAATTTTGCGCTGAAGTTGCTAGAGGGCCGGACCATTATAAATAGGGAAGCAGGTTGTTTACCACGACAGTAGAAGTTATTTTTTTTCTTAAGATATGGGTAAACAATGCGATTTAACAGCCTTTGAACGTGGGATGATTGTTGGCGCGAGCCATGGAGCGCGTATCAGCAAAACAGCAGAATTCCTTAAATGTTCAAGAGGGGCTCATTGTTAAAGTGTTTAAAGACTGGACTGTCAGACAAAAAACTGGGTCTGAACGTGCGAATTGTGGCCGTCAACGACTAGTCAATGTTAGGGCAGAACGGAGAGTGGCAAGACTGGTACAAGACAACAGAAGGGTCACAGTGCAGTGTCAGATTCCTCGCATCACCTTTCAACATCTCGTGGAGTCACGAGGCGGCCCAACGAAGTCATCTCGTGGAGTCATCTCGTGGCCCAACGAAGTACTGATGGGCTGTTCATAATAATCTGGCCACTCAGTGTATATAGAATGTGATGACACTGCAGCAGAGGGAGAGAGAGGCTCCAGGGACCAGTCTAAGAGCAAGTTGACTCTGAGGATCGGGTGAGTATAACTTTTTTATTTTCCTCCCTAGACCAAAATTAGCACTTAACACTTGCAGTGCAGGGTTAGCCCCACAGCGCGAGTTATTAAAAAAATTACCCGCAGCTCTTCTTGAATAATCCTTCAAACTTTGTGTACAATAAAGTACCTTGCTTTTAATATTCAATACATGGCGAGTACACAATACAATACATTACTAACCTGTTTCATTTGAAATGTATTCCTGATTTTGCTGGCTCTGGAGTCTATACTAGTTTTACCATCTTGACACTTCTAAAGCAATATAGCAAATTCTGAAATTTTGCTCACCAGTTGAAATACATTCCTTGATGGAGAGCTCCTATAATTTCCTGCACAAGTTTGAGAGAGGTCTTTATCAGTGCCACTCTCACAGGACGATCGACACTGGGGTCCATACAGCAGGTCATCCAGAAGTGTATCGTCCGTTTCTGAGCCTTGCCGAGTGCTTTCAAAGTCCTGATGAGAGACTGTGTAACTGTGGGAACTGCAACTTACACCAGACCTAGAGCCCTTCTGGAGCAAAAAGGTAAGCCAGTCACCATTTATGAATGCTGAAGACTACGTTATCTGAATAGACAGGTCACAAGAGCAGAAGACTACCACAAGGAGAAATTGTAATGCATAATGCTGCATATAGTTTCAGTAAGATAGATTTTATTTCATAACACAGCACAGATAATCATGGGTATACTGTATTTACAGTTATCAGAATTCAGTAATTATGAGAGGTTAAAATGGTGTTCATAGCAGTTAGCAATTATTTCAATCCGATTTCTGACTAGTTGACAATTATTGAATATCTTGCTCTTAGGCTGGCCATACACTAGAAAAAACACTTGATTACACCATCCGTGCTAAGCAGAGTGGACTAGGAAATTTCCTCTGCCAGGCTAGTGTATTCTGACAGTGGTGGGTGTGCTGCTGTCAGAATATTCAAACAGTGACTTCAACTCATTGTTTGGCCAAGAATTTTCAGACCAGCTCCTCTGTCAAAAGTACACTGAAAAATCAACTGTTGTACAAGGGATGCCAAGAGGGCCACACACTGCTCACATTTTGGCCAAGTCAGCAGGACTTGGTCTAAATTCAAGCAGTGTATGAGCACCTTAACTAGTATATAAATATTATATTAAGGGAGTGCTTTGCCCATTCTCAGAAACGTATAGTTCCTCTCCTTCTCTTCTGTGCCACTCTGTTGAGATACATAGAGAGTAAATCTACATACCTTGTACTTCTTAGTATAGAGGAGCATGTAACAATGCCGGGCCATCGCTAAGAAAACTTCCTGAACTACCTGTCTCAATGACAGCATTCATCTAAACATCAGTATATCAGATTATACACACTCCCCCTCCGAATGAGTCGGAGGGGGGACAAACAACCATCTCTCCTCTCTCAGCAGAGATGTTGCCCATCTGGGTTTTAAATCTGCAAAATTGGAAATCAAGAGCACAGCTAAGTCTGGTCTTTCATACAAGAAAGCCCAATATGCGCTGCACACATAATCACATGAAAGCACCCCATATTAAATGTTTATTGGTAACCAGGGTATAAACACCAATTTATAAACGCGTGAACTCTTATAAATCAATTTTGACTTGACACTGACCAAACGCTGTTCAGAGTGTGTTAAATTATTTAAAAACACAACTGATTATTTGCATTTTAAATGTGCTAGATGTACCTGGCTAAAGACAGATTCTTCCTCGGAATCCACTGATCTGTCTGAATCTGAATCTTGGGTCTGTTGGGACATCTGTACATCTCGGTAGTTTTCCTATGGAAATTATAGAAAAAAAATGCAGAAGTCTCAACAACATTAAATTCCAGAGAACAAATCAAAATGTCTATAGATGATGAACAAATACTGTAGTTCCCCTATAAAGTTTACCAATAGCGCTGCATGAATGGTTATTTCAGGCATTTCTATAGCACCGACAATTTACGCAGAGCTTTACATTCACATCAGTTCCTGCCCTCAAGGAGCTTACAATCTAAGGTCTCTATCTCACATGCTACAGGGCTGATTAAAGCTGGCCACAGACCTTGCAACCATCGCAAGACTTTTGTCTTGCGATGGTTGTAAGGTAATTAAAAAAACGTACGATCTGCCCATCTTAGACAGGCAGATCGTACTTGCGATAGTCGCAAGCCCGCCCTTCTGAGGGGCAGGCTTCTGATGACCGCAATGTTGAATGGGCTATGTGCGCTTGCGCACACCGACCCGTGCGGCATTTATCTTACGAAAATGCCACACACCCGCCGACAATCGTACGATTCTCGGCGGGTTTTCGAACATGTTCCTAAGATAAAAGTCGTGTGACCATACAGTAGAAACAGCCGCACGCCTTCCACACACCTTGCGATAATCGTATGATCGTGGGGTTTCCCGCGATTATCGTACGATTATCCCAAGGTGTGTGGGCACCTTTAGACAGGAGCCAATTAACCTACCAGCATGTCTTTTGCAGTGTAAGAGGAAACTGGAGTAGCGGTAGGAAACCCATGAAAACACAGGGAGAACATGCAAACTGCTTGCAGATAGTTGCACAGGTTCAGCCTCTCCTTGTTGTGAAATTCCATTTGTTCAGGTGGCTAAATGCTATTTTATAAGGGAAGCCTCTCCCCATATCTTCAGAGTTTGGGGTGCAGGAAATGGTCTCTTGGGGTCCTTTCATATTCGGATGCTTCCTCCATCATGGCGGCATGTTGACAACACCTGCTTGGAGCCTGGTTTTCTGACTCTGAAGAAACCATGGTTGTCCTGGAATAATCACACGCATGGACAAGATGACATGTAGGATCCACTCCATTTTCTTTCAATTAGTTTAAGTAGTGAATGTGCTACTTCTTCCTATGGCTTTGAAGTCCTGCTTTGCTCTGGCTGAATCTTCTTTGAATATCTTTTATTATGCCTGTAGAGCTATTCAGTTTTCCATGTGTGCTTAAACCTTACAGGTGCATTGAAAGGAAGTATGCAATTCTGTGGTGCTACTAATGCCATAGCTGAAGATTGCAGGTTTTTCCCTAAAAGTCCATTCGTTTGCTTGTGGTGCTTTAATCTGCAGGTGCTTGCTCGGTGCAGGCTGCTGCCACTTGTAGCTGCTACTACAGCTTTAGCTGGATCTTACAGAAATCTGTTGTTTGCTAACTCTGTCAGCTTCAAAGCTTCAATCTGGTGCCTTAACTCTTTGAGTGCCTTTCATGTGAGTATTGTTGCTGACACCTGTGGTTCCTCAGCGCTGTTAATATATAATTGAGTTGTTGCTTCATTTACAGGCTTATTCTGCCTGTTATACTGTAATCCCTTCATTGCCCCATGTATACAGCATTGTGATTAATGTCTAGCAGGTTCTGTCAGGTCCTGTTGTGCTATAACCCTTCATTACCCCATAGGTGAGTATGTGGCTACCATGTATACCGCATTGTTAGTGTCCAGCTGGTTCTGACAGGTACAATTTAATCATATCAATCCTCTTCAGCTTATCTGTGACTGCAAAGGTTGGATCATGTGTTCAATTCCCAGATAGCATTAACCCCCTTCCCCCAAGAGACTGGCTATATTCTATAAGGTGAGTGCACATGCAATGGCTCAATTAAATGTAAATATTTTCTCTATTGTTAGCACTGTTCCTCAGAGTGTCTGTGCCTCCCCAATGGGGCATAGAAGTTTATTTAGATAGAAGTTTTATATAGATTGTTTTCTCTATACCATTTTCTATGGACGTTTTATATGTTAGTTCCTATGCTGCCATCTAGTGGCCTTTTGTGGTAATGTATATATTTTTCTATGTTACTTTCCCTGATATCCCTGAGATCGATGACACAGTTCCTCTGTATGTAAGCCCCACCCTTCTTGTTGGTCTGTATTTCCTGTGTCATGGCCACAGCTAACAGCCACATGTAATCAGGACACATGTACTCTGCATAGTACCCTAGGAAAGGCATCATCTTTTGACCGCATAATACTGTAACCATTCATCGCTGTTATCCTGTTGTCTTCACGTTCAGAATAAAGCAACCTTTGTGGATTAAACGGTATTGGTGAGTTCAGCTATCTGACAATGAATGTCCTCAGTGATTGAATCTACTTATACAGGCCAGGCATAGAGGTCTCAATAAGGGATAAATCGCTATCACAACAATCGGAGTCAGAATAGTGTCTATGCAGGGGCTAATAGATTGTAAATCTCTCCAGCCCTTTGCCACTGCTGCTTCTCGGAGGGCACATGCATGGATTTTTGGATTATAACTTTCTCCAGCCCTATTGCCAGCACTGCTCCCCAAAGGAGCAATAAGCTGCTCAGTTTGGGATGAAAGGTCCTCTTCAAACTGTGATAAAGCTGCTAAACATGCAAGATCCTGCTACTAGGATTAAGAATTGTACAACCTTTTGAGCAGCGTGGGCCTGCAATAATCTGCGCAACCTTTTACATGCAGGGGCAGCAGTAAATAGAGGCAGAAAGATGGAGGTCTGAAGCCTTAAACAGAGTTGATGTACTTTATGAATTGTCAATTACTAGACCGGTCAAGCAGCTGCATCCACCACAAGTTCCCCTCTAGCCCTAAGGCAATCAGTTACAGAGTTTTGCCAGCATACATCTTAAGTGATAATTCACTGGCAAGGATTCCCTTACTGTGGGCCTTTAGTCATCCCCTAATCAGGCAGTTAAAAAGGCCATATGTTGGGAGGAATATATACCCATTCAAGATGAGGTTTGTCGCTTTAACTTATCTTCATGATCGATGCAACAGTCATCTGGCTAGTTAGGCATAAGGACACTTTATATGAGTAAATAAAGTTTATATCTTTTTCTGGAGCACCCGTAGGCTAGTAATGGCTCTTACTTGCCAGGACAATCCATACTTGGCCTAAGAACACAGCAGCAGACCTTGTGGCTGACAATAAGGTATCAGGGGCATGGTAATTTCTGAATGAAATGAATCAGCAAGTGACTTTATAGTAAAGCTGCTATGGATATGCTGTGTTGCTCATCCGGGACTGCGGTTGCCTTGTGTTCGTGGAGATCTCACCACACAACAATATTTAAAGTCACGGGTGAAGGAAGAATTCACAATCAGCTTTTCTTCATTTCAACAAGCCAAGATTACTCCCTCGCAGGAGAAGTTATTTTCAGGGTTCCTCTTGTTGGTTATATGTTTAGATAAAGCACTAAGATCTTGAGGAATGCTAAATTGAGTTTTACTTTACTTGAATATTAAAGAAAACAGAAAGGAAAAGAACTTCCTGTGTTTCATAGATAAGCATGCACACAGAGACTAACACTGCACTACAGCGCCATCTACAGATCAAAGGACATATCAGTACATTAGTACAAAATTGACCAGTAGGTCCCAGGTTGTGGGAGCTTGCGCAAGTTTGAGCATATCCTGTTCAGGATCCATGGGTCTGGTTAAGAATTCAAGACGAACACTGTCAAGTTTTTCTTATCTTCCAGTCAATTTCATTCCCATCAGAATCCTTGGTGTAAGCAAGGCGCTAGGTTCTATGTACACATATCCAAATGGTGTCTCATAATCTTTCCAGTCCAGAAATGTCAAGCTTTTTATCCTTTGTTTTTTTCCTAGTGGGAAAACCAGGAGACTTAAGACTAGTCTTGGTTTTGAATGCTTGGAACAGAGGTATCAAGATCCAGATCTTGCATATGGAATCTCTGTATTCAATCACTTAAGCCATCAACAGGCTATAGGATGTTATGCCTGGCAGAGGCGTATTCAAGTTCCTGTACACCTGTACTTTCTCAAATGTCTTGCTTGCCATTCTAAAGCTACCCTTTCAATTTGTTTATCTGCCCTTTGGCCTTGCCACAGTCCTAGGTCATTTTCCAAATATTACATTCAGTTACTGCCTTCTTGAGTGAACAAAGCTTCAAGTATTACTCTATTTTTGGCAACATCCTGCTTATAGTTCAGCATTCTCATACTCTGGCAGTCCACAGGAACATCCTAAGTTAGGCTCTGATCAAATTTAACAGGGTTCCCCAACAGGGAAAGCCAAGCAATGCCAACACAATGGATGACGTTTTCAAAGAAACTCAGAGAATTCCCAAGTAGGCAGCTGTCTTAGTGTTTTTGTTTGAGGCAGATCAAGTCTCTATCCTACTCATTGGCACCCCATTGTCTCAAGTTGACAAAATCAATTCGGATAGTGAAATTAGACTCATTGGAGGCTGAGGGTCTTTCAACAGGATTCTTCAGATGACAGAGAAAAAAATTACCTGTGCCGCAGGATCAGGATGATTCCAAATATGAGATTCTTTGTTTCTGGCTAAGGCCGCAAGCCTATTTCAACTGTCATCATCAGTGTCCCTATCCAGTGATAGTGTTAATAATGGATTCTTAGTGCTAATCTCTTCAACAACCTCTTAGTCCAAGGCACGTGACAGTCCAATGGGGGAAGAAATCTCCAGCATCTTGGAGTTCAGAGAGCCTTTCAAATCCATGGACCCTCTGTATTGATTCACTGAACAACAGGATGATGTTTTTTCCATAGATTCATTGTCACAAGGGATGAAGGAACTGCTCATTGCTGATGGCGGTATCGCCAATCATGAATTCAGCGCTGAACTCCCCAGAATTTCCTGGCTGACACTATAAGGCAGAAAGCCTTGGACAACAATTAATGCTTTGTTATCCAGCAGTTTCCTGTGGATCAGCAGCAAGTGGGTTATCCAGATCTCAACCTGATGGTAATCCCTAAGGCCTTGTTCACACCAATATCAGGAGCAGAGCAGA